AGAAATCTTTCCCATCAACTACTTGAGATGTTGGAATTAAATCTGGGATTTTTTGCAGGCAATACATACTCTGTCTTTGAGTTATAAATCCCATTTTAGTTCCTCCTTTACTCAAAACCTGAGAAAGTTCACATGTTGCTGAGTGCTTTTCCATTTTAACTGTAAGTGTTTTTACCCCAAGTACCATTCACGCATTATCCCCACCTCCAAAAGTGTTTACAGGAAATGACAGTCAATCATGGCTTCCTCATGAGTGTACTGGAATTTACAAACATATTTATCATATTGCCATGTTATTAGGTGTATATTTAAATGTAGCTTCAAAATATAATACAGGTAGTCCCCAGTTTAAGAATGAGTTCCCTAGGTCAGTCCTTAAGTCGAATTTGTATGTAAGCCGGAACAGTATCATTGTATAATTCTGTATAAGTAGTACTGTGCAATGAACTTGAACCGTTGTGTATTTAACTTGAATCACTGTGTATATAACTCAAATTTTGCTACAATAGGCTCTGTTCTGTAACCCTGGTGTTATTAACCTGGGGACTTCCTGTATACTGAACTGCTTTGACCTTATGATATAAATCACTCCATAGATAAACTGAGGAGGAGGATGCTTACCCAAGGTCAAACACATGATGAGACTATGAAAGATCAAAAAACACAACCTAGATCCAAATCCAAACCTTCTGGACATGATATGAGTGGAAATCCCAACTGCAGACTTACTAGATTGTGCTGCTTCTTTCTCATGGAGAGAAACTCTTTTTATTTTGATGGATATTTTATGTTCTCAGAAATGTTTACAATGTACACAGTGTAGAAATGATTGATGATGTGGTGAACCAGAATGGTAATAGCTAGAGGTGTTGTTGTTGCTGTTTAGGAATTAATTATGGCTGGTGTTAGCTAAGGAAAAAAATCATTTTCAGTACCATACAATAGATCACATACTAACTACTTGAGCATTGATTTAAATAAGTATTTAGCCCCTCCATCTAGATTTAAAGCTTGTGTGTGTTGATTTATTTGAATGATTAATCTAGCCTATTGTTAAATATATAGATTCTTATTATTAAGCCTACAATGTTGGGTAGAACACAGATTACTCATATCAGCCCTTTCTGTACACAAACTTTCCTTCTCATATGCAACCACCTAAAATTCAAGCTATAGCAAGGATGGGCAACTTGGAGTCCTAAAAACACATGTAATCCTCATCTTAATTTCATACCACCTTGTCTAGTTTAAACAGTTCAGATCACTTATGCCTTCCTGGAGCCTGTTGCTTGGAAAAGAGAAACAGAAAGGAGAAGGTATCAGAAAGAGAGAAAATAGAAATGACATATACACCGAGAAGGCTCTTCCCACCCAATTTGGGCACTGGCTTTACCTTGGTCAAGGGGAAGGAAGAGGTTTTGCTTGCCACAAGCCAGAAAAGAAGTAGAATGATGGAGATAGGACAGACAGAGTTAATACGGAGTCAATAGTCAAATTAAGGAGGGTAGTCAAATTAAGAAGTTAGGGGGCCCTAGAATGTATCTTACCATGGCTTCTTCAAACATGTTACAACTATTGATTCTAATGCTTCTATTTTTAGTATAAGGGGAACCTGCAAAAAAGAAGACAGCCAAAGGGATGCAACTACAATATTTAGGATACTACCCAATCCATGTTATTCTAAGCCAGCTCCCTTCCCTGCGTTTCCATCAACTTCTAGGAACAATAACTAGTTCATGACCACTGAGTCTGATCAGCCCTTAGGAGCAAGGGTGGCCTGTATATCAGGAAGAAGAAGGTGTCTGTCTCAGAGGTGGATGTAGAATATATTCTCCTAGGTTTTAGCATATCTATTTTATGCTAAACATTTTAGCATAAGATAGTAACATGTGCCTCTGATATTAAAATTAAATGTATTATGCAAGGTTTTAAAATTAAATACGTAATACATTTAGACCCTTAAAATTAAATCCTTAATGTCTCTAGTTACGTTGACCAGGAATTGGTGCTTTTTTCTAGAACAGGTATGCATACTTTATAGCAGTTTTTCAACTTAAACCTTCTGTTTTAATTGTCTAATATGAGGGGGTGAAAGAGGTGGTCCCACATCAATGAATCCATTGCAGAAAGTCAATAATGAAATGTGTCCTGCAAGACATTTTGCTTTATGCATATGAATACATATTGCAGATTATACTGGAAAGACATATAATAAAGGTTCATTCTTTTTGGCCTGGATGAAGCAATATCATTCCATTCCATATCAGATGATGATAATGATGATGATTACTACTACAACTATGCTCTATGCAATTTGATATTTCTTTCCTGGACTTAGACAGGTCCACAGCATAAGAAATGTTGTGAAAGCAGATGCTTCATTGCAGGTATCTAAAAGTCTTCAGTACACGTCTGGCTCTAAAGACTTCGTAAATCTGAGATTCAGCCTCATCCAAACAATCAAATGGGTGCCATTTGGAAATTGGTTACAGCTAAATATATACTCATTATTAAAAATATATGTAAACTGTAATAGAAATGCAAATATTGGAAAAGTATAATAAAAGGTTAATAATACTTTTGGGGAGAATCTTTGCTAGATGAATGTTTTATTCTTTACACTTGATGTTTTAAAAATAGTCTACATGAGTTTCTTTCTTTAATGGCATTTTAGCTAAGTTGAGGTTTGTAGTATAACCATTAAATTATAATAACATACATCCAAGTATTTCTTATATACGTATTCATTGATTGCTCTTTGTGTGGTATGTAGTAGTGCTAGGTCTCCATTAGTGTATCTTTAATGGGTGGCATGTGAAAAATAGGACAGACCAACCTAAATAAATGTCTGCATGAATATGCATATATTCTTGACAGAAATTTTGCAAAACCTGTCTATAATAATACTGTTATGAGGACTATCTACAAACATAGTTTGGGTCTATTAGCAGAAGAAATCAAAAGGTTTAAAGACATAAATATCAAAGAAATACATAAAATAGCATTCCAGAGCAAGTGCAGCCAAAACTGATGCAGGTGACCCACAAAACAATACATGTTTTACACCACATACTGATTCTCTTAAGGCTTTAGTGACTTGAACCTTCACTTATGCTTTCTACTTTGCCTTCTACTCTAGCTGGGCCCAGAATATCTTTCATTGAAACAATTTTAACTGAAGCTGCTAGGAATGCAACTTCCAGCATACAAAGTATGTGCTTTAGCAATGAACTACAGTTTCTCATTAAATGTATTGAATTGGATCTTTCCACAAACAACTGCAAATTAGATCAGGATGTCTTTGATCCTGATATATATGTGTAATTTAGCAGCTCCAGGGACGCAAGGCATTGGACAGACTTTCCCAAAACCAATTGATGCTTGTAGTTTTCCTCAAAGCCAGCAAGATTCACCTGAAAAAGCCCCCAACTTTGCTTCCATACTGTTACATGCTCCTGGGAAAGATTACTGGGACTCAAAAGTTGCTGCTCAATAACACTTTTTGCTTTTATCTTGTAGTAAATATTTCATTAATCTTTTCCTGTTCCATACTATTTAAAGACTCGCTACTTTCAACTCACTAAATTCACCAGGGAATCTCAGAAGACTACACAACGAAAACAATGTCACCTACAAGAGAGTGTAGAAGGCATCCCAGGGCTTGCCTCCAGACAGAGCATCTCATTTATTCCTTTGCCAACCTGGCACCAGTTATTCTGAGATATTGGCTGAGCAAAATGCTTCCAGTAAATAACAAAAATGGTTTTATGTACCTAATAATTCATCTAGCTGTTCCCATCAAATTTTCTGTTCATCTTTAGACAATCAACAATTGTTTTTGAAGTGTTTTAGAGCCTTCTCCTTCCCCATACAGAAAATATCAATGAAGGAATGAATCAATTCTCCGCATGCATGCATGCATGCACGGGCATACAGACAGACAGACACCAGTAAACACGCCTTAGCAGGGGGAGGGGGGAACCATCATTAATTTTTTCCCCCTATATATTGCATAAGGAGAATGCATGTGGGAGCTCGTTTCTGTATGGTTTTATAAGTGTGTGAATATGTACGCATGTACCCACACAGATACTGTAGGATCTCACTAAAATTAACTGTATTTTCCTTGCATCCATTAACCAGTTCTCTCCATATTCCATGCAGCAAGAGCTGCATATCATTGATCCAGCCCCCAGTGACGTCAGTGTGTGTTTTGTTGATGACATCAGAGAGAGCAAAATCTGTCCCCATGTTAGCACAACAGAATGTTTCCTCACAACAGCATATACAGCTATTCTAACAAGCCTTTGCCTAACTTGATCACATTCCTAGTGATAAGCTGAGTGTAGAATTCCTTTTCTGTTGCTTCCAACTGCTGGTGAGGAGAAGGTAGAATAGTTGTCTTGCCCTACAGTAAAATAATTGTTTACATGCATGTCTTGATATGAGTTGCCTTAGCCTAATGAAAATGCAATTACTATAGAGAAAACTAAATCTGGAACATTGTGTCTGCCATTTGGCTTGGAAATCAGATAAAAGACAGTGCCATTACAGCTTATTGAAACACGACAAAAAAACTTTCAGATACAAGTCTTCCATTAAGAAGCTTTAGTAATGAATATCTCTTCATCTTGTTGAAAGAAAAAAATGGAAGGAAGGTTAACAAGGAATCTTGACACCAAGACATGTTCCAGGCAATTACTTGTATGTGCGTGGAAAGATGTCTCATTTTTTGTTGGGATTTTGACTTGTTAGAATGTTTTTTCTCCTCGTAGACCAAAAAAAGAAAAGCGTGTTGTGCCATTGTATCTGCCCTTGTTCCAAAGAGCTGGCTTCATGTGGTATCTGCCTTAGAGGCAATATTGTTCCTTGTCTGCCTTTAAGTATATGCAAGAACATGCAGGACATGAAATACAAATAGGGATTAAGGGACACCAAATTAAAAACCTTCTTAAAGTGCATGGAAACAAGTAGTCTGAGTTTTGATTTGTATGGCTTACCCTTGCATATCTGGAGGAATAGGGATCTTCAAAGAGCGCCCAGATCCGGGGCTGCCACCTCTTCCAAAAGCCCCCAGGCCTTCCATCTGGGGAGTCACTCAGGGCTAGGCGTTTAGTCATCTCCAGCTCCTCTTCACCATCACCTGAGTCTCCTGTGCCATCTGCATCTCCATCATCAGCACTGCTATCCAGAGGTGCTCCACCAAAGCTGTCCAGGGCCTCTTCAGCATCACGATGCTGCCTATAGGTCATCCAACAACAAGGCTCCACATCTGTTTCATCAATGCCCCAGAAGGCTAGCTCCTCCTCATACAGAGGTCCACACACATCTGCTGGGCAATGCAGCTTACCTGTCCGGTAATAGTTCAGGATGTGGGCAAAGACACCTGGGTGCCGATCAAAGAAGAATTCATCTGCACGGGGGTCATAGTCAAAGTGACTGTGGGCATCTGGCTCAGCGATCCAGGCCAGCCGAGTGCCAGGCAAGGTGCGTAAGGTGCTGCGGTAAGTCTGGTGCCTCGTCCCTCCCACATTGATCACAATACGATCACTTTCATCGCCCTGGCCCATCTCGTCTCTTATTAGGCATGTCGTGGAATCATCCAAGCAAGCACAACACACAGCAAGCACATGAGGGGTGGCTGTTCATCTGCAATCAGTAACTAACTTGATACCTTAAACATATGGGCAAGAGACGCCCACTGTTCTTAGCCACTTATATCCTTCACAGCTAGTGATGCAAAATCAAGAGTACCAGTGAAAGTTAATGATGGCAGATTCAAGTTCTTTATTAGAAAATTAACATGATCTTAGAGTATCATTAAATGTAAGGTTCAGGTGCCTACAGATAGAATATGCTGATGAAATGCTCCTTCCAAGAACAAAGATTGTGAGGGGTGTTTTGTTAGGGAGGTAAGGTTGGTTATCAGTGAGGAAGATTGCTTCCTTGCTTAGCTGTGGCAATTAACACATCAGTGCCACACTGCTGACCTACAAAGAAGATGCAAAGAGTGGTGATAGGGGCCTGCAACAAGAGGCTGAGGGCAGTAAAATAGGGTTTCACAGACACAACCCACACACACACGCACACAAACACACAGATTAATACAGTGCGAGGAAGAAAGGGCAGATACCAATGCTGGGCAGCAGCAATCAGACCAAATCTCCTGAAAATGCTGAACAAAATCTTTCTGTCCTAGAGGCAGAGGCAGGCGCAAGAGGCAGCTCTTCAGAAGAGCTCAACACACAACAATCCTAACACTGGCGTCGGTTTTTAACAATAGAAATTCAACAAGCACGTGAAATTCAAAGGCTCTAAAGAAACGATGGTGGTGATGAAGCAATAACTAATGTTTGGGTGGGGGGAAGATGTATCTAATAATTCCCCAGCTCAAACAAAAGATCACGAAATCCGCCTTCCCTCTTGGTGTCTTCTTTGGCGTCCTCCCCGCTAATGCGGTTCACACTTCGCAGCAGCCCCAAAGGCGCCCCTCGCGCCTGCAGCTTTTGCCCGAGGGCCCCTCCTGGGATTGATCAAAGAGCGGCGCCAGAGGCGCGAGGTGCGAGAGCGTGGTGCTGAACTGGACAGCGCTCGGGTCCTCCGCCAAGGAAGCTTCTCTGGGTGAGAGAGCCTTGGCTGGCATAGGTCTGCCTTGAAGCGGAAGGTGGAACGGGATGCGGGGACCGGGTGGCCAGAAAAATCAAGGCGAGGGCATCTTTATCCCTTCTTCACAACGGGCTGAAGGAGCCGGCGATCCAGGCAGGTCGAGCAAGGCTGAAGCCGCAGGTGGGTTGTGCTGTGAGAAGGAAGATCGGCGCGTCTTGCCCTCGCTCTCCCTCTGTTCTCCCCTCCCACGCGCCCGCCGCCCAAAAGATCTGGCAG